AAATATATATATATATATATTTTTTTTTTATATATTGTAGATTATATATTATTATAGATCTCATAGATCTACAATAATTAAAAAAAGATCTATAATATTGCAAATCTAATTATTATTAGGTCTCATAGATCTATAATAATTAGATCTGCAATATTATAGATCTTTTTTTTAATCGTAATGGTAGATATAATGATAAGGAATATAATGATGCGAAGCAAATACACATAGTATTCAGATAATATCAAAATCGGAAAATAAAACGTCTTAAAAACATTTTAAAGACATGTTTGCGAGAACCATCTAAAGTGGTAACTACAATGAGATTTTAAAGCTTTTTTTCAAATTTAAGCTTTAAGATGTAAATCGATTATTCTCTTCACATTTGACTACGATTGGTCATTTTTTGTGTGTGTGTGTGTTCTACTAATGTAAGATTAGTTTCATTCAATTTCATTCAACTTACTCTCTATCTTTTTCTGATTCTAAGAACTAGAAAAGGGTGAACAATAAATTAAATCGAGATTAAAGTTAATCTTACATGGTAAAACCGCGCCTTAAAGTCTAAAGCTTAAGTCGACATAAGTGTCTTTCTATCCTTGTTACTCTTTGAATATCAAGAAAAATAGAATGATGTTTTTGTCGACTTGTGTCATTAAATAGAACGCATTCATTATTGTTTATAATTTTTGTGAAAGACAATTTTTTCCAGATTTTACAAACCTGATGTGTGTAAAAGAAGTTGGAGAAATATTTATTTGGAAAATAATCGGTAAAACAGAGACGACTTTAGGATCCCCTTAACATCTCATTATAAATACTGCTTAAAAAACCAATTAGTCCTGAAACACAATAATAGGTGCAATCAGCTTTAAGAAATTTATCAATCATAGTCGAATGTGAGAAGAATAATTGATTATGGTTAATCCACATTTCTTAAGATTTTAATTTAAGATTTACTATAATTTCATCTTATTTTCAATCAATTGAAAATGCAACTCTTGACTTACTATTGTATGGTCCATGCATTAAGATATACGTGTTTTAATATTTTATCCAAATTATGCAGATATTTGTAATTGGGTGGGGCACCTTGGCGAAGTACTCCAAATTTTCGGCACTTCTCACTTAAAGAACCACCTTAATAAAAAAATAATAAGCAATGGAAGAAACATTGAAAGAAGAAAGCTGGGTGTGCCACGCCGCAAAGGCATTTAAGGGTTAAAATAAACCAAGCGTTTAAAAAGATAAGAGTCGGGGTCCACTGTATACGCCGCGCGCACTTTATACATGCATGCGCGGATGTATGTGTGTGTGTGTATATGTGTATGTGCGTGCCGGAAAGAAAAGGAACACCCACGTCGATCCGATATCGACATCTCAGACGATTGAAAGAAAAATGTATACGGTGTCCCGAAGAATTTCTCGTCGCGAATCATTTTCGACGAGATCGGAGCGGAGGAAACCAGGCGCCGTGTCGTGCCCGATACGATTCTCTTCCGAGAGTCCGGTGTAATTCGGCCGTTTCTCCAAACACTCACCATCTCTTTCTCTCCCACACGCATCATACACACGTCGCACATCGTCTCTCGTACCCTCGCTCTCGTCCCCTCCACATTTCGCCGCATACTTGGAGCAGGTAACGTGCCAGCGCAATGGCGCCTCACTGGCTGCACCTGGGATAACCGTTCGCCAGGTTAGGCTTTACGTTGATTGGCCGATTGGCGTAAAGCCGTGCGCGGATTGGCCAACGGCGGCAGCTCCGCCGGCACGTAGGTTTAATCTCGTTTACCGTAGGCGCGCTGGCGTTCAGTTTAAGTTACCTCGGCCGGTCGGTCGGTTGGTCGGTCGGTCGGTCGGTCGGTCGGTCGAACGATCCCGTCCGCTCGCGTTACAAAGTTGAAACCGGACGTAACGTCTCGGTTCCTCGGAGGAGGGGCCCGAAATTGTCCCTTCGTCGTTCGGTCGTCGCAGTTCGTAAGTCCGTCGCGTCGTAGGAGCGTGCGCGGACGCGACACCGGTTGGGCCGTCGCTCGTGCGCGAACGCGAGCGAGGACGCGGGAGAGAAACGCTCAACGCGCACAAGGCAAGAACGCGTCCGCACTCCGCCGCCCAGCGCGGTGACACGATCGTGGTGCGCTCGCGCGTTTCTCGCGCGTCTGTGTTGAATTCTCTAGCGCGTCAGCGCCTAAGCCTTCCTCCGTCGTTTCGGCAAAACGGCAATCGTCCGTGCGTGTGCGTTGTTGCGCGCGTAACGTACGCTCGCGGGCGTCGCGCGCGCGTTTACATGCGCACACGCACGCAACGTACACACGTATATCGGAATTGAGGTACGCGTATATTTATGTGTGTGTGTGTGTGTGCGCGCGTGTGCGTGTGTGTGTGTGTGAGAGAGAGAGGGAGAGCGGGCAGGCGCACTCGCGCGCGTAACGGCTTCGTTTCTTGAGTTTCTTCTCCGTCCGTCCTGCTCTCGTCGGTGGTACCGTCGGTAAATCGCGGCCGCGCCGAATCACCGTATACGCGTGTGTACCGCGATTGGTCGGCGCGTGGTATTTTTGAAAAGTCGTATATTCCCCCCCTCGCGCCTTCCGCTCTCTTTCCGTTCCCTTCAGTTACCCTTCGTCACCGTCCCTCGCTTCTTTCTCGCCCGTTATAACTTCGTCGTAAGAACGATGAGAAAATCTACGTCGACGCCGCGCCGTATGGACGATTTTGAGAAAGCCGTCCGGTCGCGTCTCACACGTTCCTTACGTTCCCCACGTTCCCCGCACGAATCTCAAGTCGGACGAAGTTATCGTGACACACAACGTGACTCGTCATCGTCGCGCGATAGACGTCTCTTCGGCACGTTTCGCAGCGAGTTCTTGGGAAAACTTCTTTTTATAAGATAGCCTCGATTTTCGGACGGAACGGAATATTCATTCTAACAGATTCGCGGGCGATTCATCCGTATGTACTAAAAAGTCTGATGAGTGCTGTCAAAAGGTGCTTTCTAGCAAAAGACATAGATGACACATGCCTGTTTCTATTAATGTATATTAATTTACTTTTCAAGTAAGTTGAAATCTCTTTCTAATTCTTAAATGGACTTAAATGGAGAGTTAGTTGAATTGAAGATTGAAATTAAACTACACTGGTACATTGTAAAAAATATGTACTAATTTTAATAAATATTTGTTTGAATAGTATTAAATATTTACTAAACGTAAACACATTTTATTTGGTATAAGAATTATTAATTTAAGTGTCATTTTTTATTGAGTAAATATTTATTTATTGTAAGTTAATATTTAGTTAGTGCTATTTAAACAAATATTTAGTAACATTTAGTAAATTTTTTCAGTGTAAAATCAGACAATAGTGTAACACATTATTTACATGAATTATTACAGCCTTATTGTTTGTCAATGTTAAACAAAGATAAAATGATTATTGGCTGCATTCAGCAAAATATTTATTTTACAACTATTGGAAATTTTCTTCGCGCTAATTAGATTATATTCTTAGATCTGCATAAATATAATCCAATCAACGTGAAGAAAACTTCCAACAGGTACAAAATAAATATTTTGCTGAACATAGTTATTGTATTGCATTATCTCTTGCTAGAAACCACAAATAGTCTCACTATAAATGCTGTGAAGTATTTGATTGATCAATCAGAAGAAAGAATTTTACTAATTGATCAATGAAAGAATGCTTCAAAGCATTTTGCAGCACGTTGACGATATCCTAGTTGTAAAACCGTCATTTCAGGTTGCTGGTTGATTGTTCTACTTTAGCCAATCACGGTACAGTTAATACGAACTAGCTGTAACGTCATTGGCTAAAATAGAATCCTCAATCGAGAACCGCAACCGGCAACCCATCATGTAATTACGGTTTAACAGAATTTTGGGTCTTGATTATCATAGAAACGTGAAAATTTTTATGTATATATTCAGGTACATAATACATAATGCATAGTAATACGTTTAATATATATATACATAATACATAGTACATAATATAAAAAAATTCACTTTTTACATTTCTATCCTAAGGAAAAATTGTTATATGATTGATCCTCTGGCCACGAGATGACAAACTTTTCATTGGCCCGTCGTTTTTGTAAACTTTAGTAAGTTAGAATGAATGATTACTTTCTAAATTCTTTAAAGTGAAATGTCTGTCTAAGAATGAAAATTGAGCTAGTTTTGAAAAAGAGTGGTTCAATTTTCAATCTTTAATAGTGAGATATCATTCTTGAAAATGAGATTTTTTCCACTCTAAAAGTTGTAGAGAGTAGTATAAGAATGAGATAATATATTAAGAGTGTCTCAAAATTAACGATAAATATTTTAAAGACAGATTCTTCATAACATTTTAAGAAAAATAAAAAGTCTAATATGAAAATACCAAAGTTCTGATTGATTACGACGGTTTTCACAAATGGAAAGAGTTTAAAGATTAGAATTTTGCATGCTCAGGGATGACAAGAAGATGAACAGTGTGAAGGTCTACGAATTTCATGCCTTTACAAACAAATGAGAAAATTCAACATCACACTAATCATCTTGCTATCCCTAAGTTTGTGAAAATAATTCTAATTTTGTTATTTGTTTTTAATGTAATTTTGTTTTGTAATTTTTAAGCTCTGCCATTTTTTAAAACTATCATAACTTCAGTATTTTCTCGTATTAAACTTTTCTAGGTTTTCTCTACAATAAGCCATTATACAATTTTCAGTTTTAAGATGTAAAAAATTGATTAATCATTGTCAATTATTCTTCTCATATTGACTGTAATTAATCAATTTCTTACAGTTTAAGACTTAAAGATCGCTTAAAGATCGCTCTTTAAAACTTTTAAAATAAAAGCTCACTTTGAAAAGTGTAATCTCACTTTTAAAGATGGAAAACTGAGGCTCTCTTCTTCTGATTCAATTTGAAGACTGATTCAATTTTCATTCTTTAGAATGAGATTCTAAGAATTTAAAGAGTAAATAACGACTTATTGTTAAAAGTTCATTCGTTTTAAAATATTACAATGTCTCTTAAAAATATTTATCAATTTTTCGACACTCTATAAAAAGAAATGATGCATCTATCCTTCTTTCTCACTCTTATTCTGACAGATTTGCTCGTTGCCAGATTTTCAAACGGTCTGTTTTTTTATTACTGTACTTTCTGAACTATTACACACGGTGCAGCAATAAAAAACAGACCTAAGACCGAGTTAAGGTCAAGGTGTGAACCCGGCCTAAAAGTCTCTAAGTACGCGCGAATGCGCACGAGTTACCAGCGTAAAGTTTGAATTCGTCGATGACAGGTAGACGATCTCGCGGTCGGCCGTGCCTCTTCTTTGTTCAGATCCGCGAAGTCAGTCGCACGGATCGACAACGACGGTGATTTCGAAAATCGATTTTCTCGCTCGCTTCTAACTTCAGCTTGGAATCACGAGCGCGCGCCGCGGCCGTTGTAATTCCGTACGCGACGCCGACGCTGCGAAAGAACGTTCCCAGAGAGCCGATCCAAGGTGCGTTTTTTCTCGTATCCGCGCGCGATGGCGGAGAATGCCGAAACTCTCCGAGATTTTCGTCGCTTTCGAACGGCGGCCGGCACGACGGCCCAACGAATTCGGATGGTATCGCGCGCGAGTGAAGTGAGCCCGTGGATCACCGATTTAGTGTCTTTATCTACTGATCGCTTTGTATGTGATATATAGAAAGCAAGAAAGAGAGAGAGAGAGAAAAAGAAGGATCAAGTTGATCAATGAACCAAATATCCTGCAGTTTCTAATCGTCGTGAATTAAGTGACCGTAGTGCGAAGGTGTACGACGGAGTCGCGGAAATTGACGGGAATTTCCGTTCACGTATGCTGCTAGTGTGTCTGTAGTGACGTTTGTGTGTGTGTATGTGTGTGTGTGTGCACGTGTACGGTGTAAGGTTAGGATTGTGCCGTTGTGAGAGAAAGAGTGGCCTTCCCTCCAGAAAAAGGGGGGAAAAGGAGAGAGGAAAGGATCGGCGTTGCGCGCGATCGCGATCGCGGAAAACGGAATATCGGAATCAACGACGGCGGGCGGAGCGAAGGGGGCAGTCCTCGATCGAGATCTGGATTACGCGGGCGCGTCGAGGATCGCCAAGATTTTGCCAATTCGTAAAAAAGGTGAGTGGCCGTTTGTAAAAGTAAACAGAGAAATCGAGAGTGTTTGTGATAGTCGAGAGAGAGAGAGAGAGAGAGGGGAGGGAGAGAGAGAGCGAGAGAGAGCGAGAGCTCCGAGATTTCCTTCAGAGACTTTAGATTCGCTTTACCGAAATCGAGTCGAATTCGGGCTAGTTGCCCGATCGTTCTCAATTCGAGGAGAACGTACGAGAAACCAGTTATTTCCGTTTACGATGAACGTTTATTTATGCTCGTGTTGCTCTCCGTGTCTCGAGTCTCAAGTCGTTCGAGTCGCTCGGGCATGATCGATCAAACAGCTCCAACATTGGCTCTCCGTTTCGAATAGTTTGATCATCTTAGTTTGCTAAAATCTCAGATTCTAACCGATGTCTTCTTGATGAATTTACGTTTGGTAG